GGCGCTGCGGTGACTGGGCATCGCCGGTGCGGGTGCCTCCGCCGCCGCCCCCGGAGCGGGAGGCGGGGATGTGCGAGCCGCGGGCGGGCGCACCGGGAAGGGCGGGGGCCTCCCGGCTAGGGTTTCGCGGCCGCCCCGCGAGATAGAGTTGTCCCCAGTCTAGAGTTCCGTACCATCCCCCTCCCCGGGGCCGCCGCAGCCGGGGCAGACCCGTTAATGATTGATGCGGGGTCTGAAGGCTGGCCTGCCAGCCGGCCGCGCGCCGGGGGCGAGGGTCGGAGTCGGGATTCGAAACCCGACAGGCACGCGGGCGTTCTAGAGGACACTGGGGAGAGCGTTCGCGGGGGCCAGGCAGCCGCGGGCGGGGGAGGGGCGGCCCGGCGCGCCGGAGCGGGGCAGGGCGGGGAGATGCGCTGAGCGCGCGGGGCTGCGGGGGCGGGGGCGCCGAGCACTGCGCGGACGCCAGTCCGTGTGGGTCTGTGACACTGTCAGATACCTGGTGCTGCTTCCCTTTGCCTGCCTCAGCTGTATGCTGTGTGTCAGCATCTCCTTCCCCGCGCGGCATCAAGCCTTAGTTTATCTCTTCCTCTAGCGGACTTATTCAGGTGCGTCACTCTCCTATTTCCCTCGTCCTTGTCCTGTCCACGCGAACCGTCACCCACGTGGCCTCCTCCAGCCACGCACCCCAGCCCCTGGAGCCACAGCTCCCCCCATCTTCTTGTATCTTTATGTAGAAATTTTGCCCGAAAGCTCAGAATGGGGCTGGACAAATTTCACATTATACTGAAAAATTTCAGATGCTACCACCGTGACTCAGAAAGGCTCTATCGATCTGAGAAATTTATTAGGCGGGGATTCCGAAGCAGAGCTGTGCCGGGGAGTCCGGGGAGCACACTGATGAGGCAAGAAGACTTCGGGGGCTGGTGCCTTCTAGCCAGACCTGAGAAGAGCCAGGCAGGTCATTTTGTAGAGACAGGGAGGGGACGACACGGATAAACTTGGATATACTTAAGTATAATTAACCAGAAGTACCTGGCAGGCTAGCGTGGGTACCTGGAGGCCAGGAGAAAAGAACACTGAGGAATCCAAATGTTTGCTATGCACTGCTGTGTGAAAATATGCCTGAGCCGTGAAAAAAACAGACACTAAAAATCCGTGTGTTCTGAACTGTTCACCGTGTCACATGCGTTTCAGTGATGGCCAGGTGGTGTGAGTGGCCTAACCTGCACCGCTGGCCTGTGGTATAGGTAGCACGAGTTATCTTTCAAGGGGTTGGACACTAAGTGCTTTTAAAATCTTTTAAGTTATTTTTCCAACACTGTAGAAAGGGAAACTGAAGCATCACTGACCAGAAAGAGCATGCTTGAGTGCTCAGAGGGCTCTCCAAACCCAGGGGGCTGCTTTAGATTTCCACTATTTTGTGCAGAACTAAAAGGAAACAGTGCGATTTAGAAGACTTTCAATTTTCATTTTAAAATTCACTTCATTTTCATTTTTAAAGTGAGAGGCTACTTTCTTCACTCTAGCAAATCCTATAAGTAGGTTAAGAAAGACTTACTTAGTAGAGGCTCAAGATGGATTTAAGCATGGATAAGAATTATTTATAACTAGGATGTCATTCAGTATTGTAAAGGTCTAGAATAACTTAACAGCCTTTTTGAAGTTTCAGCAGTGTCTCTGAAATGTTTTCCACTGCTAATTGATTTGGCAAACTTACACAATTAGGCCAAAGGTACAGTTTGGTCTTGTGTCTCTCTGACCTGTCACACATTCCTGATTAAGGGGTGTTTAAAAAGAGATTTCTCATTTTTTTTGCTTTAGTGTTTTCTGATTTTCCATCGTCTGTGGTCTTGTTGGTTTAAAGTGAAATATAATTTCCTTCACTTCTGGACTAAGGATTCATGTTAATTTATAAAAGTACTTAAGATTTGGCATTTAATTGAAGCCAAGAAATGATAAATCTAATTTCTGGACAGATCAGAAAAATAATTACTCATATTCCCTCCACAAACAACCTGAGCTGAAACCTGTAAAAACTGTTGTTCCTATAATAATTCCTACATTTAGTAACCTCTTAGTTGTATAATCTGCTCACTTACATAATTGGGGAAAATATAATAAAAAGTTCACTTCAAGAAGAAGAGTGGGAATTGACTGTAAATGAATATGCAAAATTATTCTTTTAAAGAGTCAGTATTTTGTAATAAAAAAAAACTGTCATGGTATTTTTGTCTTTCAGAAAGTCTTTGTGGTCTCTGCCTTTTTCATTTTTCCTTGCTAAGGCATCCCTGAGCCTGAAAAAACTAGCTGATGCCATGGAGTGAGAGGGGTGCCCTTGAAAACTGTTACACAGCCTGGGCAGCTAGCTTTACTATACCTTCACAAAACTAAATAAAAAGAACTAAAGAAACAGGAAAACTATTATAATTATAAAGTGTTTTCCTTATAAAATGAAGCATACAGTAATATGACTTTTCTTTAATTACAAGTAATCTGTAGATTATTTGTTTGTTTGAGGGTCTCACTATGTAGCCCAGGTTGGCCTTGACCTCATGGTGATCCTCTTGCCGCAGCTCCTGAGTAGTAGGATGACAGGGGTATACCACCAAAATTAAAATATAAAGAATGTCCCCAGATCCTACACAGGCTGGGTTTTTCAGTTTGTTTTGGTAGACTACCTCTTGTCAGTGAAAACCATGCTGCCATCCCTGGGCCTGGCTACACAGATAGCAGCAATAGGCTGGCTGCCATTCCCTGAAGGTGCATTGGGAGATAAGACATCTCTAAGGACACCGTCACCCACTGCAGGGTTCTTTACAGCACAGTCACCAGGCATGTGCTGGAGAGTGAGTGCCAGCATTGATAGGCAGAAACCAGCTATTTCTCCCAAAGGAGAGCTTGCCACACTGAGACCACAAATGTGGTTTTGGTAACTCCATGGAAACTGTACACTGGGGTGCTGCAGGGTCCTGGCTACAAAATGCAGTCAGATGCAGGAGTTGTGGCAAGCTGAACTAATGCTTTTCCCAGTCTAGTTTGCTTGGGCCATTTCTTCTAGAACACCTACAGGTTTTCAGTATTTGTGTTTCTTTCTACAGTAATAAAATAAAATATATATAAAAATTCCACAATAAATCTGATGTTGCTTAATAAGGAAAATTCTATAAAACATGGTGTTTTATTCACTAATAATAAATTTGGTTTCAGAGGAAATAATTTCTAAGTCAGTGTAGTGAAAAACCAACCAATCAAATGAACAAAAAGCCACTATGGACCTAGTGGTTAATTGTATTCCTTCTACATAGAGACAGCTCTCTCAGAATATCCTCTCTAAATGCTTCCCTTTTTCAAATTAAAAAGAACCACAATATTATAAACCATACACTTGCAGGTCACATGTGGTCCCAACCCAACAAAAGTGCCTGTGCTCCTGAAGGGTGGCAAACCTTATTGCTCAAGGAATGACTGTCTTTGGCAGCCTTTGAGGAAAAGTGTGATCAGAAAGCCAGGGAGAAGGCTGTGACCTGGAGAGAGAGCACTGAGGGATCATGTTCTCTTCTGGCAACGTTCCTATCAGTTCACTGACGTGGTGACAGCCTGCTTTTTAGAAGAAAAGCTAAGAAAAGTTGTGGAGGAGGTTTTTGTCTTTTAAATGTCCATACATAATATCAAAGGCACATTCTCCAACCTCAGCAAGTGCACCCTTTTTTCTACCAGTGGCCTCCAAAGTGGCTGCCCAAGAAGGCTAAAATGAAGAATAAAATATTACAACTTCTGTTTAAGTAGATTTCACCTTTCTCAATGCATATACCTGTACTCTGTGAAGGTTTTTTTTTGTTTGTTTGTTTGTTTTTTTTTTGGTGGGCAGCTGAGCCCATCCTGGGGACTGGGCTGACATGGCATGTGATGCTGGGGATTGAACCACGATCCTTGTGCGCTTGCCTAAGCTTGCCTAAGCAGGCACTTTAGAGCTATCTCACCAGCCCTCTATGAAGGTTTTATGATACACTTCTGTGTACTACTACATGGAGGCAATTTATAAATAGTGTGTTGTAATATGTTGGGATATGGGGAAGATCAATACATTGGCTGAAAGCATGGGTGACAGAACAGTCGACTGAGCTCTACCCTATAGTTCATTGCCATTATCCTGCCAGCTTACATTCTCTCTCCCAGGTTCAGGGTGGACCCCTGTTCTGCCTTTTGGGTCTTTGCGGGCAGAGGCTGGGGTTTCCACCATATGTCGGCACACACTCCCTAAGCTCAGAAGAGAACTGCCCATGTGTTTGGATCTTCAGCTCCATCCATGACTTCCCTGGCGTGAGATGGTGGCCTCTGTTCTAGAGTCATTTCTTTCGAATTTGTCCTTCCTGTTTCCTAATGAGAACTTACGTTGTCTTTCTACAAGGGCCTCATATATTAGCCTTAATTCAGAGTTATCTTCTGGGGAGCAAACTATTAGAGGCTGTTGCTTGCTTTTGGTAGGGCCTGAGGGGTGCTTTCTACTTATTTAACCTGAGGAATAGTTCTACAAGTATGTGAAATACATTACCAAGTTCTCCTTTATTTGTCAGAAATTTTCCTTGAAGCAAGCACGCAACACATAGTGCTTAGGAAATTTTTTTAGTACAGGAAGCCTCAAAAAAAAAAAAAAAACACTGAGAGCCCTGGAATCTTAGAGTAGTAATGCCTCTTAATCCTTAAGGTTATCTGATCTGACTCTGCATTCATAATTATTTTGCTTATTGATCATATACAATATTCAGGTGCTGTGATAGGAACTTCCTATATATTTTCTCATTTCTGGACAGGCAGCTCAGACTGACTGACTCAGACAAACAGCCACGTGGTTGAGCTGGAGTAAAATCTTTTTCATCTCAGCCCCTTACGCTTTCCTTTCTAGGCCACTGTCCCCCAAGAAGCTCATGCATAGCTAGCCATGAGCATTTCCTGTAAAGAGACCTATCTTCGTCTGTTTTAAGCTTTTTCATTGTTGTTACTGGAAAACGTTGTTAATAATTAAGTGAGCACAACTGATGAGAAAAGCATGCGTCTTGGTCCAAAGCTCAGCATAAGGGTTATTGAATATTGAATAAAGCTGCCAAGTGGACCTGTTTAGAAAGTCCCTCAAAACAATAAGCCACTCTTTCTCCCCTTTACCCTTGTTGCTTTTGCTAACTTTCGCCACCGTGAACTGCTTCTTCTCTGCCATGCTACCCTGCCTTGGAGCCAGCTCATCATGGGCTGAAACCTTTACAAACTGTGAGCTAAATCGACTTTTCCTTCCTTAAAAGAAGAAGAGGAAGA